TCTTCCCATTTGAGTGGTGCTGGGTTGCCCGGAGCTTTCCGCGCCGGCCTGTCTGCCTGCCGTTTTGGAAGAGGCCGGGCACGCCGCTTGCCTCTGGCTTACAGGGGGTTCCCTCCCTGACAGTGACCCCGCCCCTCCCTCTAGGGCGTCTTTGGGCGCCCCAAGCGCCCCTGGGGGTGTGAGTGCGGGAGGAGGATGCAGGTGTGCCCGGCGGAGAGCTTCACCGTTCCCCCAAAGGGGCCGGGGTCCCCGTACCCCCAGGGGGAAAGTGGGTCCCGTCTCCCCACGGGGTAAGAGGGCCCTTATTCCCCTGGTGGCTGAGGGTCTCCGGACCCTCACCAGCGCCCCCTAGCGGCGGCCCTGAGAAGTACACCTTTGTGCATGCAGAGTCCGGTGGGCGGGGTCAGGCTCTGCCGAGGGCGGCGCCTGGGGCTCATCAGCCTTTGCTTGGCCAGGTGAGGACTCTTCCCCTTTGAGTGGGGCTGAGTTGCCCGGGGCTTTCCAAGCCGGCCTATCTTCCTGTCTTTTTGGAAGAGGCCTTGCTCGCAGCTTGCCTATGGTTCACAGGGCGTGCCCTCCCTGACAGTGACCCCGCCCCTTCCTCTAGGGCGTCTTTGGGCGCCACAAGCGCCCCTGGGGGTGAGAGTGTGGGTGGAGGGTGCAGGTGTGCCCCGTGGAAAGCTTTACCGTTACCCCAAATGGGAAGGGGTCCCCGTACCCCCATGGGGAATGAGGGTCCCATCTCCCCACGTGGTTAGTATGCCCTTATCCCCCTGGGGGCTGAGGGGCTCCGGAACCCCCTCACCAGCGCCTCATAGCGGCGGCCCTGAGAAGTACACCTTTGCGCATGCAGAGTCCGGTGGGCGGGGTCAGGCTCTGGCCTGGGGCAGCGCTTGTGGCTCATCAGCCTTTGCTGGGCCAGGTGAGGTCGCTTCCCCTTTGAGTGGTGCTGGGTTGTCCGGGGCTTTCCGCGCCGGCCTGTCTGCCAGCCCTTTTGGAACAGGCCGCACTCGCCGCTTGCCTGTGTCTTACAGGGGGTGCCCTCCCTGACAGTGACCCTGCCCTCCCTCAGGGGCGTCTTTGGGCGCCCCAAGCGCCCCTGGGGGTGTGAGTGCGGGAGGAGGGTGCAGGTGTGCCCCGCGGAGACCTTTACCGTTCCCCCAAAATGGTGGGGGTCCCCATACCCCCAGGGGGAAAGAGGGTCCTGTCTCCCCATGGTGTTAGAGGGCCCTTATCCCCCTGTGGGCTGAGGGGCTCAAAAACGCGCCTCACCAGCACCCCCTAGCGGCGTTCCTGAGAAATCCACCTTTGTGCATGCAGAGTCCGGTGGCTGGGGTGAGGTTCTGGCCAGGGGCGGCACCTGGGGCTCATCAGCCTTTGCTGGGCCAGGTGAGGACTCTTCCCCTTTGAGTGGTGCTGGGTTCCCCGGGGCTTTCTGCGCCAGCCTGTCTGCCTGCCATTTTGGAAGATGCCGCGCTCTCCGCTTGCCTGTGGCTTACAGGGGGAGCCCCCGTGACAGTGACCCCGCCCCTCCCTCTAGGGCGTCTTTCAGCGCCCCAAGTGCCCCTGGGGGTATAGTGCGGGAGGAGGGAGCAGGTGTGCCCCGGGGAGAGCTTTACCGTTCCCCCAAAGGGGAAGGGCTCCCCCGTACCCCCAGGGGGAAAGAGAGTCCCGTCACCCCACGGGGTTAAAGGGCCCTTATCCCCCTGGAGGCTGAGGGGCTCCGGGACCCCTCACCAGCGCCCCCTAGCGGCGGCCCTGTAAAGTGCACCTTTGTGCAGGCAGAGTCCGGTGGGCGGGGTCAGGCTTGGCCGGGGGCGGCGCCTGGGGCTCATCAGCCTTTGCTGGGCCAGGTGAGGACTCTTCCCCTTGAGTGGTGGTGGGTGGCCTGGGCTTTCCGCACCGGCCTGACTGCCTGCCGTTTTGGAAGAGGCTGCACTCGCCGCTTGCCTGTGACTTACAGAGGGTGCCCTCCCTGACAGTGACCACGCCCCTCCCTCTAGGGCGTCATTGGGCACCCCAAGTGCCCCTGGGGGTGTGAGTGCGGGAGGAGGGTGCAGGTGTGGCCCGCGGAGAGCTTCACCGTTCCCCCAAACGGGAAGTGCTCCCCGTACCCCATGAGGAAAGAGGGTCCCGTCTCCCCACGGGGTTAGAGGGCCCTTATCCCCCTGGGGGCTGAGGGGCTCCGGACCCACCTCACCGACGCCCCCTAGCGGCGGCCCTGAGAAGTGCACCTTTGTGCATGCATCTCCGGTGGGCGGGGTTAGGCTCTGGCCGGGGGCGGCGCCTGGGGCTCATCAGCCTTTGCTGGGTCAGGTGAGGACTCTTCCCCTTTGAGTGGTGATGGGTTGCCCGGGGCTTTCCGCGCCGGCCTGACTGCCTGCCGTTTTGGAAGAGGCCAAGCTCGCCGCTTGCCTGTGGCTTACAGGGTTTGCCCTCACTGACAGTGACACCGCCCCTCCCTCTAGGGCGTCGTTGGGCGCCCCATGCGCCCCTGGGGCTGTGAGTGCGGGAGGAGGGTGCAGGTGTGCCCCGCGGAGAGCTTTACCGTTCCCCCAAAGGGGAATGGGTCCCCGTACCCCCAGGGGGAAAGATGGTCCCATCTCCCCACGGGGTTAGAGGGCCCTTATCCCCCTGGGGGCTGAGGGGCTCCTGACCCCTCACCAGCGCCCCCAAGCGGCGGCCCTGAGAAGTGCACCTTTGTGCATGCAGAGTCCGGTGGGCGGTCTCAGGCTCCGGCTGTGGTGGCGCCTGGGGCTCATCATCCTTTGCTGGGCCAGGTGAGGACTCTTCCCCTTTGAGTGGTGATGGGTTTCCCCGGGGCGTTCTGCGCCGGCCTGTCTGCCTACCGTTTTGGAAGAGGCCGCGCTATTCGCTTGCCTGTGTCTTACGGGGGGTGCCCTCCCTGACAGTGACCCCGCCCCTCCCTCTAGGGCGTCGTTGGGCGCATCAAGCGCCCCTGGGTGTGTGTGTGTGCGAGGAGGGTGCAGGTGTGCCCCGCGGAAAGCTTTACCGTTCCCCCAAAGGGAAAGGGGTCCCCGTACCCCCATGGGGAAAGAGGGTCCCGTCTCCCCACGGGGTTAGAGGGCCCTTATCCCCCTGTGGGCTGAGGGGCTCCGGACCCCTCACCAGCGCCCCCTAGCGGCGCCCCTGAGAAGTGCACCTTTGTGCATGCAGTGTCCGGTGGGCGGGGTCAGGCGCCGGCCGGTGGAGGTGCCTGGACCTCATCAGCCCTGCTGGGCAGGTGAGGCTGCTTCCCCTTTGAGTGTTGCTGGCTTGCCCGGGGCATTTCCACGCCGGCCTGTCCGCCTGCAGTTTTGGACGAGACCGCAGTCGCCGCTTCTCCGAGGCTTACACAGGGTGCCCTCCCCTGACAGTGACCTCGCCCATCCGTCTAGGGCATGATCGGGCACACGGCCGGGCTCTAGGGTTGTGTGTGCAGGACTAGGGTGCAGGTGTGCCCCGGGAGGAAGATTTTGCCATTCCCCCGAGGGGGAAGAGGGTCCCGATTCACAATGGGGGTAGAGTTCCCCTACCCCCAAGGGGGCTGAGGGTCCCCAAACCACCCCCCGCTCACCAGCACCCCATGCCAGCGGCCTTGAGTACTTCACCCCTGCGCATGTGCAGACGAGTGGGCGGGGTCAGGCTCTGGCCGGGGGCGGAGCCTGGAGCTCATCAGCCCTGCTGGGCCATGTGAGGCCGCTTCCCCTTTGAGTGGTCCTGGCTTGCCCGGGGCTTTCTGCGCCGGCCTGTCCGCCTGGCAGTTTTGGAAGAGGCCGCGGTCGCCGCTTGTCCGAGGCTTATAGGGGGTGCCCTCCCCTGACAGAGACGCCGCCCCTCCGTCTAGGGCATGTTCGGGCGTGGGGCCGGCCCCCGGGGGTGTGAGTGCTAGAGTAGAGTGCAGGTTTCCCCTATGGGGAAGATTGACCGTTCCCCCGAGGGGGAAGAGGGTCCCAATTCCCCATGGGCATTTAGGTGCCCCTACCCCCAAGGGGCCTGAGGGTCCCCGAACCACACCCCCGCTCGCCTGAGCCCCCTACCGGCGGCCCGGGGAACTGCAACTTTGCGCATGCGCAGTGGGTGTACGGAGTTAGGCTCCAGCGAAGGGGGGGGGGAGCCTGGACCTCATCAGCCCTGCTGGGCATGTGAGGACGCTTCCCCTTTGAGTGTTGCTGGCTTGCCCGGGGCACTTCCGCGCCGGCCTGTCCGCCAGCAGTTTTTGAAGAGGCCGGGGTCGCTGCTTGTCCGTGGCTTACAGGGGGTGCCCTCCCCTGACAGTGACCCCGCCCCTCCGTTTAGGGCGTGTTCGGGCGCACGGCAGGGCTATGGGGCTGTGAGTGCAGGAGGAGGGTGCAGGTGTGCCCCGGGAGGAAGATTTACCATTCCCCCAAGGGGGAAGAAGGTCCCGATTCCCCATGGGGGTAGAGTTCCCCTACCCCCAAGGGGGCTGAGGCTCCCCGAACCACCCCCCAAACACCAGCGCCCCCTGCCGGCGGCCTTGAGTACTGAACCTTTGCGCATGCGCAGAAAAGTGGGCGGGTTCAGGCTCTGGCCGAGGGCGGAGCCTGGACCTCATCAGCCCTGCTGGGCATGTGAGGACGCTTCCCCTTTGAGTGTTGCTGGCTTGCCCGGAGCACTTCCGCGTCGGCCTGTCTGCCTGCAGTTTTGGAGGAGGCCAGGGTCGCCGCTTGTCCGTGGCTTACAGGGGGTGCCCTCCCCTGACATTGACCTCGCCCCTCTGTCTAGGGCATGTTCGAGCGCATGGCCGGGATCTAGGGCTGTGAGTGCAGGAGGAGGGAGCAGGTGTGCCCCGGGAGGAAGATTTGCCATTCCCCCGACGGGGTGAGGGTCCCGATTCCCCATGGGGGTAGAATTCCCCTACCCCCACGGGGTCTGAGGGACCCTGAACCAACCCCCCCACTCACCAGCGCCCCCTCCCGGCGGCCTTGAGAACTGCACCTTTGGCATGCATAGACGAGTGGGCGGGGTCAGGCTCTGGCCGGGGGCGGAGCCTGGAGCTCATCAGCCCTGCTGGGCCAGGTGAGGCCGCTTCCCGTTTGAATGGTCCTGGCTTGCCCGGGGCTCTCTGCGCTGGCCTGTCCGCCTGCACTGTTGGAAGAGGCCGCGGTCGCCGCTTGTCCGAGGCTTACAGGGGGTGCCCTCACCTGACAGTGACCCCGCCCCTCCGTCTAGGGCGAGTTCGGGCGCACGGCCGGGCTCTGGGGCTGTGAATGCATGAGGAGGGTGCAGGTGTGCCCCGGGAGGAAGATTTGCCATTCCCCCGAGGGGGAAGAGGGTCCCGATTCCCCATTTGGGTTGAGGTGCCCCTACGCTCAAGTGGCTGAGGGTGTCCGAACCACACCCCAGCTCGCCAGTGCCCCCTACCGGCGGCCCGGGGAACTGCACCTTTGTGCATGCGCAGTCAGTGGGCGGGGTTAGGCTCCAGCCGGGGGCGGCGCCTGGACCTCATCAGCGATGCTGGGTCAGGTGAGGCCGTTTCCCCTTTGATTGTTGCTGGCTTGCCCGGGGCTTTTCCGCGTGGCCTGTCCGCCTGCAGTTTTGGAAGAGGCCGCGGTCGCCGCTTGTCCGTGGATTACAGGGGGTGCCCTCCCCTGACAATGACCCCGCCCCTCCGTCTAGGGCGTGTTCGGGCGCACGGCCGGGCTCTGGGGCTGTGAGCGCAGGAGGCGGGTGCAGGTGTGCCCGGGGAGGAAGATTTGCCATTCCCCCGAGGGGAAGAGGGTCCCGATTCCCCATGGGGGTAGAGTTCCCCTACCCCCAAGGGGGCTGAGGGTCCCCGAACCACCCCCCCACTCACCAGCGCCCCCTGTCGGCGGCCTTGAGAACTGCACCTTTGCGCATGCGCAGACGGGTGGGCGGAGTCAGTCTGTGGTCGGCGGCGGAACCTGGAGCTCATCAGCCCTGCTGTGCCAGGTGAGGCCGCTTCCCCTTTGAGTGGTCCTGGCTTGCCCGGGGCTTTTGCGCCGGCCTGTCCGCCTGCAGTTTTGGAAGAGGCCGTGGTCGCCGCTTGTCCGTGGATTACAGGGGGGGTGCCCTCCCCTGACAGAGATCCCGCCTCTCCGCCAAGGGCGTGTTCGGGCGCACGGCCGGGCTCTGTGGCTGTGAGTGCAGGAGGAGGGTGCAGGTGTGCCCCGGGAAGAAGATTTGCCATTCCCTCGAGGGGGAAGAGGGTCCCGATTCCCCATGGGGGTAGAGTTCCCCTACCCCCAAGTGGGCTGAGGGTCCCCGAACCACGCCCCGCTCACTAGCGCCCCCTGCCGGCGGCCTTGAGAACTGCACCTTTGCGCATGTGCAGACGAGTGGGCGGGGTCAGGCTCTGGCAGGGGGCTGAGCCTGGAGCTCATTAGCCCTGCTGGGCCAGGTGAGGCCGCTTCCCCTTTGAGTGGTCCTGGCTTGCCCGGGGCTTTCTGCGCTGGCCTGTCCTGCCTGCAGTTTTGGAAGAGGCCGCGGTTGCCGCTTGTCCGAGGCTTACAAGGGTGCCCTCCCCTGACAGTGACCCCGCCCCTCCGTCTAGGGCGTGTTCGGGTGCGGGGCTTGCTCCTGGATGTGTTAGTTCATGGGTTTGGTGCAGGTGTCCCCTATGGGGCATAGGGCCCCGTTTCACCAACGGGCTAGATGTCCCTGGTCCCCGTAGGGGGCTTAGGGCCCTTACCCCCTTGGGTGCAGGGGGCCCTTGACCCCCCAACCACGGATTCTAGACCTTTAATCCTTAAAAATAGAAAAGGCGAGGGGCTCCCTGGTGTCGCTGCAGTTGAGTGCTGGGCTTGAATCTGTCTGGAGTCACTGCAGCACTGTTTAGATCCCCAGCCACCAGTGAGGGTCCCATATGGCGTGCAGACCTCTCCTGCCCCACCCTCTGTCATCTCAGCTGTGTGTTTCATCAGTCTGCCTGTACTGCTCCCACCTCTGGCTCTGTTGAATTTTTTCACCCTCCTGCACTGCTGACTGTACCCAGTGCTTGTATAAATAAAAAAAATAAATCTTAAATAAAATAGGAAAGATGCTTAAATCCTGTTCTTCAGAGGGGCGGATCAACATGGTGGCAAGGAAACGCTGCAAGTAAGATCTCCCATTAAAAAAGTTAATAAGGAGGAAAAGCGGCAGGTCCCAGTATGAACTGGGAAACAAAGATAAACGGACGACTCCAGCAAACTACCCGAAAAATAAAGTTACCATCAAAGAGAACTAGAAGGGAGGAAAGCTCAGATCCCTGCTACCCTCCCCTACCCACAAATTCAGCACTCTCCGATCAACAGAAATGAGAATAAATACAAAAAGACTAAAACAACCAAGAAGAACAAACTATGCATCAAGAGGGACTGTGAGTGGAAAGGAACTATTTCAGCCACCACACCCCGTGTACTGGAGCTGTGGAGATCCCTGCAGGATTCACCATGGAGGTAAGCGAATGGCTCCAAGTGCCAATAGAGAAAAACGAAGACTCCTGGAGACCTACAAACAGACCCTGGCCAGCCGGTAAGCTTGTTTGGAAAAGCAGTGCCCTTAGAAAGGATTCGTGGATCGCGGCTGCCCAGGTCCCCGCGCCTGCAACCTAGGCTTGCTCGGACACTCACAGGGCCCCTCTCTAAGGTTATCGTCCCTCACTGAGTAATCAGAAACCAGGTGCCAGGAAAGGGAGCAGGGTGCAAATGGCGCCATTTCTGTGGACACTGAACTGGGCTAAATACAGCCCGCGTCCTGGACCTGAGGGCTTTGGAACTGAGACCCAGGGCACAAAATTCGGGGCATGAGATACCCACGATGGTGGGGCAAAAGGCAGACACAGCACCCCAAAGCAGTTGAGGCTTTCCCCACTACTCCCACTCTCTTCCCCTGTCCCACGGAGGAAAAAAAACAGCTCCCCAAGGACACTAGGAGAGATCTCTGGTGCCACCTAGCAACCAGAAAAAAATCAACACCCCATAGAATAGGGACCTTTCTTCAGCAAAGACTATTTGAAAGGGGCAGAAGGCTCCCAGAGGAGTCAGAGGTGAACTGGGAAGTTCGCCCAAGCCAGGCCCCTTCTGACCAGCAGTCTGAGCCCAGAGTGGGAGTGGGCACCCACAGCCAGGGCAGAATGGGTATGCAGAAGAGTGTGCCTGTCTCCAAAGTGCCATTTTAGAACAGGGACCTTTCTTCAATAAAAACTGCTTGAATCTGGCAGGCAGCTCCCCGTGGAGCCAGAGAGAGAAGGTTCCCTGTGCAGTCAGAGGTGAGCTGAAGGACCCAACAAGCATGGTCCCACCTGGCAGGAAGTCAGCGCCCAAAGTAGGATCCAGAGATTTGGAACTCAGAGTGCAATCCAGTTGCCCCACCTCCAGGGAAGTCTGTGGGACTTTAAGACGCACCTTTGTAACTAAACACAGAAGGAGGAGAGATTCTTTGACAGTGATCATTAACAAACTCACAGTACCACTGCCTCACTAGAATTCTGGCATAACAGTTTTTGACACGTTTGGATTGCCACTTTCTGAAACTCCGAAAAGAACACACCAAAAACATGCCAGCTAGTAACAGCAGCACAGTGTCCCAATGCATAAGGCAAATTAGAAGACAGGCAGCAGGGAAAAGAAAAACTACAAGCAAAGTAGCATCACCTCAGAAAAAAGACACAGCACACACACACACAAAAAAAAACCCACCCACCAGCTTGCAACTGTGGTGAATTGGAAGAACTTCTGAGCCTTCCAGAAAAATAACTTAAAACTGCCATGATGAAAAAACTGATGGAAGAAATTAAGGAAAATAATGCTCAGAAGAATGAAATTGAATCCCAAAAGAGGGAAGTAAAAGAAATGCAGGAGATCAAAGAATTAATGGAGGTGCTAAAGAACTCTGGGAAAAGCAATGAAAGCAGAATAGAAGAAATGGAAGAACAAATATGTACTCTTGAAGACACAGAAATAAAAAGAACCAAAACAGAAAAGTAAAGAGAAGTACGAAGGACAAAGCCTGAAGAATGACTTTAGGAACTATCCGACTCCATGAGGAAAGAAAACATAAGAGTTATAGGAATCCCAGAAGGAGAGGAGAGAGAGATGTAGGAACAGAGAAAATATTCAAGGAGATAATTGAAGAGAACTTCCCAAACGTGAAGAAGGGACTGAAAATAGACATACAAGAAGCAAGAAGAACACCAAACTTCCACGACGAAAGGAAAAATACAGCAAGACACATAATAGTAAAGCTCCCAAGAATCCAGGACAAGGAAAAAATAATGAAGCTGACAAGAGGGAAGAAAGAGATAACATTCAAAGGAAAACCTATCAGACTGACATCAGACTTCTCCGAAGAAACACTACGGGCAAGGAGAGAGTGGAGGGACATAGTCAACTGACTCCAAGAAAACAGATGCCAACCAAGAATATTCTATCCTGCAAAGCTCTCCTTCCTCTATGAAGAAAGAATAAGGACCTTCCCAGACAAACAGAAACTCTGGAATTTCATGACTAAACCCCACTCCAAAAATACTACAAGGAGTCCTAAAGCCAGAACCTCAGAGGGACGAAAAACAATGAAAGAAGGCCAAAAAAAAGCTATTAAAAGAATAAATAAATAAAATCAAAGGAAAGACAAACACAATGGCAAATACAGATGCTAACATATCAATATTAACTCTACATGCAAATGGACTAAACTCTTCAATAAAAAGACACAGAGTTGCAGGCTGGATCACTTGTAATCAGGGAAATGCAAATCAAAACTACCATGAGATACCATCTTACACCAGTGAGAATGGCACATATTAAAAAAACTAGCAACAACAAATGTTGGCGAGGGTGTGGAAAAAAAGGAACTCTTCTGCACTATTGGTGGGAGTGCAATCTGGTCCAACCACTATGGAGAGCTGTGTGGAGATTTCTGGACCTACTAAACATAGAGCTTCCATATGATCCAGCAATTCCACTCCTAGGTATTTACCCAAAGGACACAGAAACATCAATTCCAAAGAGCACCTGCACCCCTATGTTTATAGCAGCACTATTTACAATAGCTAAGCTTTGGAAACAGCCCAAATG